TCTATATCTTCATTAAACATTGAACTGTTGACGGACATCTGGGCTGGCTCCATTTCCTTGCTACTGTGAATAAAGAATAGCAAATATAGATGTTCAAGTACCTCTTTGGTGGAATGTAGAGTACTTTGGGTATATGCCCAGATGTGGTGGATGGATAGGAGGGTCATATAACTGTCTTTTTGTTTTTTGAAACACCTTGGTACAGATGCCTATAATTTTTCTATCAGTTTACACTCCCGTCAACGATGAATAAATGTTTCTCCTACCCCATATCTTCAACCAGCATTTATTGTACTTTATTTTGCGAATAATAGTCGTTCTGATGTGGTGAGGTCAAGCTCAAAGTACTTTTGATTTTTATTTTCCTGATGGATGTTCAATATCCTTTGTGTGTTTATATATATATTTGTCTTCAGAACTTTTTTAATTCATTTAATGATTTGCAGTTTATCCTTTGGTGGTCAATTTTTGAAATTCATTATATGTTTTAGATATTAACCCCATTCTAACTGTACTGAAACACGTTTTTTCCCATTCTGTGGGCTATCTGTTCACTCTGCTGATAGTTTACTTAGCTGTGAAGAAGTTTTCATAATTCCACACAATCCCACCTTTGGCTGTTTGCTGTGCTATCAAATCCTGTTCAGAAAGGTTTAGATCATGCCTTGAAACGTTAGACCCTAGCATTATCAGCAATTCAGGTTCTAAATTAAGACCTTTCACCCACTTTGAGTTGATTTTTGTGCCAGATTTGGATCTAATTTCATTCTTCTGAAAGTGGATATCCAGTTTTGCCTGCAGCACTGATTTTTAATAGGCTGTCTTTGTTGCAGCATGTGTTTGGGACAACCTTGTCATATTAGCTGTCCAAAGCTATGGTCAGTACGTCTCTCTATGCCAGAGCCATGCTGTCTCTGTCACTATTGCTCTGAGGTGTACTTTGGAGACTGTCCAGAGCTGTGTTCCATTGGTCAGTACGTCTCTCTATGCTGGAACCATGCTGTCTCTGTCACTATTGCTCTGAGGTGTACTTTGGAGATCAAGTGTTGTGGTATACCTAGCAATGTTCTTGTTACTTAGACTCATAGCCTTTTGTGTTTTTGTGTTTATTTCTAGATTATTTTCTAGTTATATGAAGAAAGACCTTAGGATTTTGATTAAGATTGCATTAAGTCTGTAAATTACTTTGGGTAACAGCCATTTTCAAGACACAGTTCTGCCAGTTTAGGAGCATTTCTATGGTCAGCTATTTTTCCAGTGTCTTAAATCTTCATTGAAAAGGTCTACTTCCTTGATTAGGTGTATCCCTAGGTACTATTTTTTGACAGATGGATGAAATGTTTTTTCATAACTTTTTCTCAGCAGATTTGTTATTTGAGTATTAAAATACTACTGGCTTGTCTTGTAAAAACAGTTTTATGCCTTTCAACATTTCTGAAAGTGTTTCGATCTGATGGAGTCTGTGGAGCCTTGCAGGCATAGAATCGTCACATGTACAAATGAGGATAATTTGACTCCTTCCTTTTGTATTTATATCTTTCTCTTAATTTCTGAGGCAAAAAAGTGCTAGACCAGTGGTTTTCAACCTTCCTAATGCTGTGACCCTTGTGACCCCCAACCATAAAATTATTTTGTTGCTGCATACTGTAATTTTGTTACTGTTATGAATTGTAATATAAATATATCACATTCAGGATATCCAATATGCCACCTCTGTGGGAGTTGTGACCCACAGGTTGAGAACTGCTTGCTAGGTGATTTCCACTAAATGTTTACTTACATGTATATTTTTATATGTCAGCAAATATCTATGTGACATGAAAGGGAAAAGTTTTAATAGTACAAAGCAGTAGGAAGCCACTTTGTTGACAAGAAAGCTCAAGACAATTCTATAAGTAAATTTTTTTTTGGGGGGGGGGGTTCTGTTCACTAAATTATTTACTGGAAAAGAACCAAGATTAGTTTGGCCATCCCTTCCCTCACATTTAGTATCCACTTATGAGTAAGTACATACTGTGTTTGTCCTTCTGAGTCTAGGTTACCTCACTCAAGATGATATTTTCTAGTTCCATCCATTTGCCTGCAAATTTCATAATATCATTGTTTTTTACTGCTGAGTAGTACTCCATTGTGTATATATGCCACATTTTCTTTATCCATTCTTCAGTTGAGGGGTATCTAGGTTGTTTCCAGGTTCTGGCTATTACAAATAATGCTGATATGAACATAGTTGAGCATGTGGCCTTGTGGTAAGGTTGAGCATTCCTTGGGTATATGCCCAAGAGTGGTATAACTGGGTCTTGAGGAAGACTTATTTCCAATTTTTTGAGAAATCTCCATACTGATTTCCAGAGTGGCTGTACAAGTTTATATTCCCACCAACAGTGGAGGAGTGTTCCCCTTGCTCCACATTCTCTCCAACATAAGCTGTCTTCAGTGTTTTTTTTGTTTTGTTTTTTTTTTTTATCTTAGCCATTCTGACAGGTGTAAGATGGTATCTCAGAATTGTTTTGATTTGTATTTCCTAGCTAACAGGGAAAGACCCTAGGAGGGACACATGGATGACCCTGCGAAGAAGCGGATGAGATCTACATGAGTGGACTGGGTGTGGGGGGATGGCAGATGGCGAGGAGTGGGGGATGAGAACATGGGGAAATGGGAGGGTCAAGCTGGAACAGGGACAGAGTGGGAGGGCAGGAAGGAATATACCATGGTATATGAAGACATCATGGGAATAGGAAGCGACAGGGTGCTGGGGAGGCTCTCAGGAATCCACAAGGTTGACCCCACCTTAGTCTGCTGGCAGTGGTCCAGAGGGTGCCTGGACTGGCCTACTCTGGTGACCGGCCTAGCAAATACCCTAGCTGTCATCATAGAGCCTTTGTCCAGTGACTGATGGAGGCAGATGCAGAAGTCCACTGCCAGGCACCAGGCTGAGCTCCGGGAATCCAATTGATAAGAGAGAGAGGAGGAATTCTGCAGGCAAGGGATGTCAAGATCATGATGGGAGCATGTGCAGTGATGACCGGCCATACTAGTGGAGGCCCATGAACTGTGGACTGGTGGCTGTGGAGCCCCCATGGGACTGGACTAGGTCCTCTGGATACGGAAGACGGTTGTTTGGCTCAAACTGTTTGGGAAGCACCCAGGTAGGGGGATCGGGATCCATCCCTGGTGCAGGCTTCTGGGGATCTGGTGCCTGTGGTGTGGCGCCTTGCACAGCCTTGGTGCAGTGGGAAGGGTCTTGGACCTGCCTAGGTTCAGTTTGCCGTCCTCTGTTGACTCCACATGGGAGACCTTGATTTGGGGGATGTGGGGATGCGAGGTGGCTTGGGAAAGAGGGCTGGGGGAAAGAAGGAGGGGGGATCTGTGGATAGTATGTGGAGTGAGTAGAAAATTTCTTAAGAAAAATGAAAAAAAAAAGATTAATGGATTGAACAGGTTGTTTATAGCTCTAAGAAGTTCTTTTAATAAGTTTACTGCTTCAGTTACATTTGGACTTCTCTCCTCTCTCT